GGCATTTATTAGCTTGCCACTTGACTTAACCACAATGCCAATTATATATGGTAACTTTATTCCTTTAATATATATATAGATATAGATGGGTGAAAAACTTTTAGCCTGTTTGGGCATGCAATTTTTTCACTTTTTTCAAAATCAGCAACAAAATTTCTAATTTTCACTCGAAGATAAATTTTAGAGTTGTTTTTCAAAAAATTCACTCAGATAACTCATAAAAATTCAAAAACAGCCCAAAATTATATTAATGTCCAAACACAACTCTAATTTTCAAATACCATTTTCACTTGATTTTTTTTTTTACCTTTTTTTTCGAAATTTTACAATTCTTATGTCCAAACGCTATACCATGTATTTGACTCGGTCAACGGAGATAAAAGCCTTTGGAGGTTGTGACGTGTCAATGTCATGACATGTTGACCCAACTCTAAAGGGTCGAGTTCATGCAAAGAAAGCAAATCGTCATCGAGGACGAAGTGGCTTGTTAGAGGACGAGGATGAGGATGAGTGCCCGCCTTCAATACGCAGTAATGACTAGTTTAAGGATTTAGATGTCCTAGGAGAATATTCTAGCGAATATTCTTCTCTATTGTATTATCTAGAGTTTTGTGTCCCATGTAACCTTATAAATAGGAAGAGATATAGTTCTAGAAAGGGGATGAAAGATTTTTGTAAAGAACAATATTGACATTCTCTATGAAGATTCTCTTTGTTGAATACATACAAAAATTACCATTACACCTCTTTCCCTCTATCTTTCTCTCCCGATCCAAGAAGAATCGGAATATTCAATCACTTATCATCATCCATCATTGTTAGAAAGCTCGATGGAAAATCTCACCCTTGTCGGGTGAACCTTGTTTCATTTATTACTTAAAAGCCATTTATTATCATTTATTGTTATATTTCACATTCTTAATCCATTATTGCTCTAAGATACTTTTTTCCAACAACACATGTTTAATACTCTTCATAAAAATACTAGATCTGATACTTGGGAATTAATATTGACTTAGATTAACCATTTTTCTATAAATCTAATTGTATAAAAACCTAGATCTAAATTTGGG